AGAAACGAAACGGAGCACATGGAAAATTAGGGTTTCTTAGTCATATGCAATCAAATTGATTCCAGATAGATACAATTGAATCATGTATCGAGACTAATCTCGAAAAATTAGGGTTCCTTAACCTAATGTGCTTTGAGATCGACACAAACATTGGGGATGATCGGAGAAGCTTACCTGAGAGAGAGAGAGAGAGACAACGCGGCGAACAGCGAGGACGAGGAGCAATGGATGTTTTGAAGCTTTGTTTCTTCTCTCGCTTGCTATTTTCTTAACGGGCCTTGAACTTTCGGTTGGGCCCAGAAACAAACCATACTGATAAATAAGCATAATAATAAGTTTTATCATTATTGCATTAAGATTTTTATATAATATTTTTCTAAAAATAATACTATATATAATTGAAAAATAAAATATAAATGAAATTATTTTTATATCAATGGAAAATCAAATGTTGATAAAATTAAGGGAAATTCTCTCAAAAAGACTCTTTTTAAGTTTTTATCGAAAAAATAAACCTCAAAAACTAAATTGGCCAAAATAATATTTTTTATTTTGAAAATTATAAGTTTTTTTTTTAAATTTTTTAAAATTTGAAATCCTATCCCAAAACCTCACTCCTCAACTGTAAACAAAAAGGTATATGATTAGTTAACCCAAAAGATATATGTGTATATTTACTTATTTTTAATAAAACATTTAAGTCTATTTTGGTCATTTTTATTTTTTAAATTCTATATTGTGACAAAAACTTTTTTTAGGCATATTTATGGAATTTTCGAAAATGAATGAATAAATTTTTATTTAGAAAACATCATTATTTTTTTATTCTCAAAATCTAACACATATCTTATGTAAAATTTTATAATTCAATTTTTTATAAAATATTTCCAAAAAAAATTTGTAAAGAAAAGTAAAGGATTATCTGCATGTTTTCTCATATTTACTATGAAAATTACAGTGGCTGTAAAATTTTATAATATGGATTTTTATAAAACCTTTCCAAAAATTGTTTCTAAATTGCATGTTTTCTCATATTTACTATGAAAATTACAGTGGCTGTAATTTTATTCGTTCATATGATTGGTCATATGATTAAAAGATGAGTGACTTTTGTGATGGTATATATGGTGCTAGTGAGCTTAGTGGATTACTTTTACTTTGAACATAGATTTGAAGCATGTTTTTTATATCGTAACTAAAAATTGTATAGTTTAAAATTGTATATACTACTTGTAGTAATACTTTTCCCAAACCACATTGATAAGAAGGAATGATTTTATGTTTAGTAATGGGTACGGTGCATGTTTAGTTTATTGTAAGAATATTTACCCCAAAACGTGTAGATCTCTAGTTGTTTGATCTTTAATTTTTTAGTTACAAACGTTTATGGTGTGATCATTTATAATTTATGATTATTTATTCATTGATCAAATTTTAAGCAAAAGAGATAACAATTAACGAACCAAAATATCATCAGCATTACTGAAAATAGGAAAAAGCTTAAATTGAATATTATTTAGGAAGGATCATATCACATAATTTGATTCCTAACATTTAAAATATACAGATTTCAAGCCGAAATCTCATATTTTTAAAAAATAATCAAGATTAATTTATTTAAATCCGTTAAGAATCAATTAAACAGTTTCTTTCGTTTATATTCTCTTCAAAATCCGATAGGGATCTTTGCTGGTTGGTGGTGGTGGATTAGTTATGCTTTAATTATATCTTAAAGTATGGATTTGTTGGCTAAAAGATTACTGTGGAAGATTATATTAATTCACTATTAGTTGTTATAAAATACTTTGAAACTGTTCAATATATTCCTCAGCTCAAATAAGGCTTATCAAAGAAGAAGCACTCTTTGTCATATAGAAAACATATTTGAGTGTTTTATTCTTCGACACATTCATTTCATTTATCTTTTGACTGTGTGTGTGTGTGTTTATGTAAAGGTTACCAAAAGAATCGTGACACTAATAATAGTTTTATTATGTACATTGACTAATTTTTAGGCAGATGAACTAAGTTTGGTATTCGTTGAAATTTGAGAGAGCCAGATACATAAGCATACGATTAAGAAATAAAGTAAGAACCAAAAGAAACACTATCGTGTTTGAATTTTTTTTTATTACAATAATACAAGCTTTGCATAGCGAAACACAAAATAACACACACTTGTTGTTTGATTCGATCACTCTAATATAATTTTCTAAAGAAAGTTCAAATGAAAAGACTTAAAAGAGACAGAGAACTTGGATGGATTCCTTTGGAGAGGAATTGCGACAAAATAAAATAAACTAAAATGGACAGAACAAAGACACTTAAGTTAAAGTTAACATACAGATCCATATATGATCAGATGTCCGAGAAAATCTCAAGAACCTTCCGATTGTAGTAGCAAATTCCACGTTTCTTCATCTTTCATTCAGGTTGCAGAATAATAATCTCAAGAACCTTCCGGTTATTTTGTGGTATTTAATGGTGGAAAAGTAAGTAAGAACTAATACCTTAACACGTTATCTGTATAACGAGTTAGAAAGTAAACAAATCATACCAATATATCTTATTATCTGATGGAGGTAATAGATGTAGGTGTGGCTAACAGTAAGCAAAAAACTGCATGCAATACACAAAAATTATTCGTTATAATGGTTTTAACTAGTACTTGGTTTGAGCAGAGATTCTAAGAGTTTGGAGACTATATGATTTAGTATAAGTTTATGTAATTTTTACATAAATTTTAGAATCCTATATATATATATATATGTCTGTGTGTGTGTATAATTTTTTCTACAATTTTGAAAGTTACAGCCAATACTTTATTTGTTTATATTCAGGACTGGACATGCGTTTGAGTTAAAATAAAATATTGTGTTCAGGGAGAAAAATAGTTTACGTTATGTAAAGATTTGAAGTTGATTTTCGAGAATATGATGTTAGAATCCATGATGGAAATTGGAAACTCTATTTACACAAAATGTAACTATTATACCCGGCAAAATTACAAACGACACAAAATCCCACCAAGGAATAAGGTTCAAATAATTACAACCCACACATTAAAAAAATGTCGGTCCGCACTGTAGCTTACAACAATGCACAAAACTTTCTATCGCTTTGGTAAATTTTAAACAGAACCAAATTCCAATCAAACCGGAATTATAAACTCCCACAAAAAAAATCTGTTTTACTCAGCCACCCTATAAATACATCCTCAAACACATCTCTCCACATAAACACAAACACATCAAACTTAAACCAGTTCTTTTTCCTTACATCTTGGTGTGTTCTTGTTCTGTCTAATGGGAGGCAACAGCAGTAAGCAAGTATCGCTCTTCAGCTTCTATAAATCACGAAGGCCGACTCATAGAGTTCAAGCAGACCCCTGGGACGACGGTGTATACACAAGGAAGGCATGGGCCAGTGACGAGGACAAGAGATATTGGGTGGCTGAGCCAGGTATTGACCGTAAAGCTTCTGCCTTCATCGCCAGGTTCCATGCCTCTCGTGTCTCTGAGTCCGAGCGCCAAACTCTCCCTTCTTGTCAATCTCATCTTAATTAGCCATCATCTTAATCATAACGATGATGATGAAATGAAAAAAAAAATGCTAATAGCTTATTAGCTTGGTTCTATTGTACTTTCTTTTTTATGTTTATGATGATGTCCTTACGATTATTTGTTTATAAAAAATGTCTTATATATATAGCTTAAAGTCATTCTCAACAATTAATATTACAAATTAACATGCGAAGTTCATCGATACTTGATGAAGACTGCCACATATATTTCAACTATACTCAGCCTACCAAAAATATTCCTGCATAAAATGACATGTCAAGAACATGTCAAGACGTACGTAGTACTAAGATATTTTTATGATTCGGGTCTAGGTAATAAAAATTGAGATCTTCACGATCTCTAGGAAGTATTTGCGCTAGATGATTGGATTTACTGAGATTAATTAAATTAGAAGAAAGATTTGGAGCTAGCTGTAGAATCTAGAACGATGTATGTAGATGATTCTATTTTCCACTTGTAGTTGTACATTAACGTACATTTATTCCTTGATTTGCCCTCTTCTTTCCCCTCTCCATCTTTTGCGTATTGTAATTGTACATATGTTTTCCAGTTTTGTTATTTTGTAACAATCACTTTTGTCGTTTAGTAATTATAACTTGATGATATCCTTTTACTTTATTTGATATAATATATTTCACTGTGATAAAATTCATAACTATTGAACAAAAATGTTATTATATATATTTGAAACAAATATATGAGAAGAGGACATACAAAAATCTTACTTAGCTCTGTTCGTTTACAAGACACGCTGCATCAGGGCTTGCAGCCAAATATATAACTGTTTTCTTGTTTACGCATCTGGAGAGTAACACCAGCGGTGGTGCTTTTGCCTATCAAAAATAATCGCAGCGATCATCTAACTGCCGCTACTTTTAATAGTGTCTGCGACGACATCGAAAACCTTCGCAAAAATAATCGCAGCGTCAGCTTGATTAACTTTCTACTATCATTTTGATAATTTTGATGTTTAGGTTTTGGCCGCAAGCCGCTGCGTCCGCATCATCTAAAAGAACAGAGCTCCTATAGAATTTAGTAGTGGTTGAGAAAAGTTAGTCGGCACTTTGTTAACTACACGGTTCACGATTTTCTACGGATTTAAGCTGTAATATACACAACAAATTATGATACATCACACGTAAACCTAAATGGTTGTTCATGGAAATGAAAGTGGAGTGCGACTAAAATGTTAGTAACTCATCGTAGTTGTAAATATATGGGTTTGGTTCTAACATAAAGATCAAATGATCAGGTCGACAATATGGAGAATCATATATATTTTGTGTCTAGCTATGGACGGTTTTGAGTTGTTTTTGATACAAATGATAATCTACTATTAACGTTAACATTTGCAGTGCCTAATGCATTGAGAAAGTCTCTATATCGAGACTCTACTATAAGATATTTGGAACATGGGGTTTAACTTTTGTAATTAGGTAGGCTTTTTAAACTTAAAACAAGTACTTTTAAGCTGGATCTAGTAAGAATGTCAAGTTATTACGAAAGTAAGCATCAATAGAACTAATTAGCCCCTTAACACTGCTCAACAGTTCGTGAGAGCGAAGGATCAATCATTATATATATTTTTCGTCTATAACTTCATTTAGCGAAGATCACGTAACAGTTTATCATAGTTTATATATTGTATCTGAATGTGTATTAAATTTCTGTGCACCAATAAAAAAATTAGTATTCGCTGGATATTTCTATAAGAACAATGAAATTGGATTTTGAAACTGTTATAAATATGAATTTAAGAAATTGTAAAATAATTAATTTACATAATAATATACAAATCATAAACGCGTATTTGCCTCAATACGTTTTTTCTCTCTTTTTTTTTTCGAATTGATTCACGTTTGTTCATAACAGTCCGTAGTTAATCCACTGAAAATCAATTTTGGGATGCATTACTTGGTATAATAATGTTTTCTATTTGTTCATCATTTTTTTTAAAGGTATATGAGATTAAATTTAAAAGTAAATAACTTGACTATAAAAGAAAATGACAAAGATTAACAAAAATTTAAAAGACATTTTACAGATATTTGTATTTGTCATAAATTTTGTACATTAATAATATTCGTTACTTGGTTTTGGTGTCCAAATCAATAAAAAACCCTAAAAGTAATGTAATTTCTCGATCAAATACTACTGACCATCCGTTTAAAAACACTACACATTTTTGAAAAACCAAGACACATAATCATCCAAGAATGGTGCTATCTCCTATTTCAAGATTCTATCTATAGATTCTTCCATGGTTTACTTATGCTTAGACCTACACGAAACAAAAGACAACCTATAGAGTATAAGTAGACTATATAGCTGTTCTGAATAAACAGATTCATGATTTGAAGATCAAGTCACGCCCATCAATTTGGGTTTGAAACGCTTTCTGTCAAAATGGACAAGACATGACTTACTTTGTGTCTTTCGTACTAGAACCAATCATCTGAAATCTCTTTTCCTTTTTCTACTATATTTTTATTTCATTTTCAACTTTTTGTCTGCAACTTGATTTCTATTATTCGGTATCTATTTATGTATTTACAGAATCATACAAATCTAATAGTTATATGAATAAAAGATCGGAACAAAAAGTTCTACCGCAGAGTGTAAAAGCAGAAAAAAAGACGAAAACAAGCTAGAAGTTAACCAGTGGTAATAGACTAGTGGTAAAAGTCATTCTTAGAGCATCTTCATCAGCAATCCCCTGCAGGCATGATCTCCCAGGTAACTTTTTAATTTTTTGTTTCGTTTGACTTAAAAAAAAAAAAAAGTAACGAATTAGGGTTCGTCACGTGGCGAATCCGTGGTGAACCAGTATCACTCCGGCGAACTCCCATGAACCAGTATCACCTTTTTTTTCTCGAAATCCGTGTGATCTCCTTCCCTTGAACCCTTTATGATCCCCCAATGGGGATGGTTTTAGTTTCGGTTTTTTGCTGAAAATAAAATTGCTACTAGCTATACAAAAAGAAAGTCAAATCTTAACAAAAAATTCAGGGTTGGATTAGTCGTTATCGTGACTATTGTCATCTGAGAGAATAGTTGGTTTTCGCCCGCCCCAGACACCCACCTGTTAACAAAAAAACATGCTAGAAGTTGTAATCCTAAATATAGCCTTCAAGTATAATTACTTTCTTTCTTATTGAGAAGGCACTAAGGTGATGTTTTTTTTGTCAAGGACTAACATTTTGATCTTTGGTAATTAACTGTTGTAAAAGAACGAGTCGTTTGCCACAATGCAAAGCAAATGTAGTAGTAATACAAAAACAAATCGCTGGCGACTGTTCCATTAAACGTAATTTCATCGTAGTCTTTTTTTGGGATGCTGCCAGCGATTATTTATTGAACCCATTGGGCCTAAAGGGTAAGAGCTATTTGTGGAGCTCTATTTAGCTGTTAAAGCTCAATGCAATATTATCATAGGCTAGTTTTATTAGTTTTGAAGAATAAAAATCTTTCCCAAATTAACGAACCCATTCGGATTGGGATAGTCACCTCATATACTCTTAACCCATTTCACTAAGTTTCACAGACTTTCAACATAAAATATGATATTAACTTTCAACACAAGATCGATGATACTAATTAAAAATGGAATGAATTGCTTTACAAATTTAAACTTATAAGATGGATTGAATCAGTCAAAACTGAATACCAATTTAGAGTAATGTGGATTTTAGATCGGATCATTTGGATTAGTTTTGGGTTGTTCTCTTATGAATGCAATATATAAAACACAATAATCACAAACTAAACTTTCTCATGACTTTTTTTTATAAAAAAGAAAACTTCTTGCCAGTTTTTTTTGTTTTGTTTTGTGTGCACTCTAGGCTAATGATTTAAACACATACTAGAACTTGACCGAGCAGATGTTTGGTTTAACTTATGTATAACATAAAATCATAAATCGTTGGTTTTATAAAAAAAATCCTATATATATTTTTATATTTTGTAATTTACATAGAGAATATAATATATTATTTTAAAATATAAATATTTGATAGTAATTTTTTTATTTTTCACATAGTATTATATCAAGAATTTTAAAACTTCATGTAACTATACTATTTATATATTAACTTGTTATTTTTCTGTTAATTTCTTTTAAAATGAAACAACATACTAATTTTTTTTTTTTTCTTTGAGTTATTATTAAGTTTATGATATTTTGTTTTCTTGAAAATTGAACTCACAAATTTTTTTTTATTTGACTAAATTAAATAAGATAATACTATATTTAAAAATTATCTTATATAATATATACTATATGGTAATTGATATTCCTATATTATCAATAAGACCATCAGCATTGTAATTTTAATTAATTAATTAACTAATTTTAAATGCAGTGGCAGAATCTATATAAATAAAAAAATACAAAAAGAAAGTACCTAATTTACTGGAAATACAATGACTAAATATATATATAAAAGAAATATTAAAAATAATATTATTTATGTTCCCAAACAACACTAAAAAGTAGTTCAATTTTAATAATATATATATTTTATGGATAACAACTAAAAACCTTAGAATTTCATGCTATTTTTTTTTCCAACAGAAGTTCATGCTATATTAAATGTGTGAATTCATTAAAGTTAATTAACTGAAAAATTAGAGAAAATGACCAAATAAGGAGCTGATACGCGTCACAAATGCTTAATAATGATTATATTGGAAGATGGTTAAAGGAAAGAAAAAGATAGGTTAGATTGGGGGAAAAGAGAGTTTGATCCTTATAATTGAGACATACAGAAAGAAAAGAGTGACTAGATAAGAAAGTGAGGATGCAGAAAAAGAATTAAATAATGGAATGTGGCTAATCAGAGATTTTGACTATTTATTTCATCTCCACTTAATCACCAAACACATGATGTAATTGTTCATTTGATGGCTCATTATTTTTTTACAGCCAGACAATCTACTGTACCTTTTTTATAATTGCGATATATTAATTTGAAACTCGTATACAATTAAATTTTTATAGAAGTTGGTGTTCAGGAATGCCGACTGTAACACTAAGTCAATGAAGTAATAAAACTGAGTAGAATGAAAAGTTAGAGACACAAGTTGTCCAAGTCTAAACCAGTAGTACTTTGAACAAAAAAAAAAACAGTAGTACATTGAGT